GGGGGGGGGGGGGGACACGAGGCGAGGAAGGAAAGGCTCATCTACATGAGTTTATCCAGAGGCTACGGAAAATGTCCAAACTCATTTTTCTTCTTTAAAAAAAACGTGAATGACAAAACAAAAAAAAGGACTTACTGGCTCAATCTGAGAGCTTTGATTGCTCTGCTTTCAGGGAAACCCATCTCAGTGAGCTGCTGGAGGGCCGTTTCATCCACCCGGTCCTCCTCATCCTCATCCAGCATCGCTACGGGACACATAAAAAAAAGTGGTCAAACTAAGGCTAGGCCACGAGAAACACCACAGCAATCCCCGGGAAGCTTTTCCAGCGGCAGAAATATCTCAGTGTGACTCAGAGAAGCACAACAGTGTGCTAACTTAGATGTGATATTTGCTGACTCAGCTGTCCCGTGCTGTTGGCAGAACATCCCATCCAGCTGCATCAGACTGATTTACACTCTAACTGGAAACTCCATTACAAACATTTTTTCCCCTGTTCCATTAAAACTGCCCTCATCACAACATTTTATGTGCATGTAGCATTTCAAAACCGCTAACCACACGCATTGTTATGGACTGGATGAAAAGATAAACAAGCAAATGGAACGAGCGTACGGTGTGTTTGGGGTGCTTGCTGCCTGTGAATGTTCCATGTTGGCAACTAAGAAAATGGAAGAGGAAAGATGTCCCTCAACAGGAAGTTGGGGAGTAAAGGAAACAACAGGGTCTTTTAAGAGGAGAACGACTGATCATGTGACAAATGTGAAATAATATCAGATGTGTCAGCGTACAGGAATGGATGGGGGGGGGGGGGGGCTCCCAAACGTGCCAAAAACAACTACATCGAGGTGCGCTCAGCCAAAAGTTCCAGGGAGGAAGCTGGCAGCTCCGCCTGTTTGTGGAGAGCCCCGATGACAGGAATACGGTCCTGGGCTTGACGACTGCTCCTTGTCCCCCACCGCCCCCCCGTGTTTTATCAGGTGCTTTCTTCATGCGACCAGCATGTCAACTATTAAGCTCTGAGGCAAAGATTGCCCTGTAACGCTCCCCCGACAGGCTCCCCCCCAGAGGGTATGTAAAAGATTCAGAGGGTTTTTGTGTTTGTTTGTTTTTTTCAGATTAGACTGAGCAACCCAAATAAAGAAAAAAAAAATATATATATATATATATATATATATATATAAGCTTCCATTAACTCGTGTCTTATAGGACAATCCACTTTACCATTGGCCTTTTTGAAGAGTTCAACAGCGTCGGGGTTCAAGGCGAGGAGCTTCTGGGCCACTTCGATGAGAGAAACCAGGATTTTCCGAAGCTCTGTTTGAAACTGGAAAAAAAACAAGAGACGTAAATATGTGTGTTTTTGTCAAAAAGCAGGTCGAATATTTTGTGTTTTTGAATGATCTTCGTGGAAGTCTGCTCGGTCAGCTAAAGCCATGCCTCAGAGGTTCCTACATCTCTGATGTTGTGCTGTGTAACGGCCCGGTCGGTGTGCTGAGTGGACAGGCTGGCCGTAGCTTTCAGGATAGCGTCTTTGTCTGGAGCTTTGTTATCTTGTTTCTTCTGCGAAAACCAAAATGGATATAAATAATTAAATACATGAAATACATAAAAACAGGCCAAAAGAGAATCTAAACTTGGTTTTAAACAACGGCCAAACTCACCTTTTCTTCTGAACTAACATCTAGCATCTTTGGGGGAGTAGGCGGTGGTCTTTTCTTTATGAGCAACAAAACATCTAGAAATAAACAAAACAAAGACATCGTCAGTATGTGTAATTTTTTTTAGATGACACGACTTCCTGGATTGAAATCCTGGAGCTGTCAAACAGCACGGAGCCTACCTTTGTCTTTAAGATTTTCATCAGCAACAGTCTTAGTGTCAGTCAGGACTCTCTCTGTAGCAGCGTGTATGAGTTTATGGTGGGTGAGAGTTTTGGGGTCTTCTACATTCCCGTGTACATACTGCAAAGTAAACACAGCATAAAACAGCTCTCAGACAAACAGTAGACGGCTTTCCAGCAGATACTCAACATCGACATTAAAATCACTTTAACCTTCCTGATAAACTTGAAACGCCAAATAAGATTTTGAACATTTTTTAAAAATTGTTCTTTTTTTCCTTTTGTCTTTTGGACCGGGCTGATGGTAAAATGTCAGCTCTGTTAGGTTCAATGTGAGGGTGGTGGACCCAAAAGGAGTTTTTTTTTTTTTTTTTTAAATCAGGGCTTCTTGTTTACATAACCGTGGAGCCCATTACCAGACAAAATTGTTTCTCCTTGGTGACACTTTGTCAGTCTTTTGAAGCAAATTCTTCAAGATGAGTTAGTGATCCCGTTGGATCAGTTCCACTCCATCTCCTCACTTTTTCCTCAAGTCATTCCATTGCAGACCAAACTTAGTTTTAAACGTCTTTTAACAGAGTTACTATTTCACTTTGCACTCTCAAGACCTCCTTGGAATCAAGTGAATGGATTTTTGACATAATAGTATTGATGTGCTCTCCTCCATGGCGGTGCGGGGTCTCCTCACAGAGGGTTCGAGTCCCCCCGGGGGAACCGGGACCTTTCTGTGAGGAGTTTTCATGTGTCTGGGTGGGTTCTCCCACCGTCCAAAAACACTCACGCCGGTCCGTCTGACACTCGAAATTGCCCCTAGGAGTGAACACAAGTGTGCGTGGTTGCTGGGCTCTGTGTGGACCGGTGACCCGTCTAGGCCGTACCCCCGAAACTCGCCCGCTGACGGCTGACAAAGGCTCCTACCGGCCGACACCTCGTTGGGAAAGAGCGGTGCAGGAAATGGATGGATGGATGAATGGATGCATGGAAGGATGGATGGATGGATGCTTTCCTCCTGGAGTTCGTTGCCTTTGAGACTTTACCTAAAACCTCTCTCAAAGTAAACACCTGACCTTTCACCTGTTTAGCCGATGAAGAAAAATACCCACGGGATTAGTCCCTGAAACAACAGTTTAACTACATGTGAGGTGGCATTCATTTGTGATTCTAACATCTTCCCGCTGACACCTCTGAGAGGAGGCAAACGCGGGGAATTTCAGACTTGCTGACACTTGTCCTGTTGTAAAAGCCCAACGCTGGACCACCATCTGAGTTTACATTAAAGGCCATAGAAGGAGAGGAGAGGTGAGCTGGGTAATAATAGAAAGGCTGGGAGGCGGCGTGCCTGCACCGAGCCGCGGGGAGCAGAAAAGGTTGTTGCTAGTTGTTGCTGGAGAGGGGGCAGCCAACCTGCTAAATTATAAATAGCAAAGTCTACCCAGTTACTATAAATACAAAGCTAGTGACACCGACACTGACGGTTTACATGGAGTTCAGAGCAAGCAGCGGACACCTCAGGCGGAGGAGTGACAGGACAGGGAGGGGGGGGGAAAGGGCAACGAAGAAGACACAAACAAACCACGAAAAAAAAAAAAAAACCTACATGTTTCAAGCACCTCTCCTTCAGTTTCTCAACAGTGGTGTCTTCCGTGACCTCCTCCAACCACTCTGTGCCGTCCATGGTGCAGATGTGTATTTTCAACACTTTCCCGGCAAATATTTTCTCCTCCTGGACGAACATAGCTGCGGCTTTGGGGAGTACCAGTCCGGAGGCGTTAGCGAGCGGCAGCTGCTAGGTAGCTCCTCTCGGCGAGCTAACGTGCTAGCTTGCTAGCGCCCAGCTAGCTGGTCGGTCGTATGTAATTCCACAAACAAACGGAGCGGGAGCGGACGCCGGTTAGCTGTGGGCCATTTTCGGGCTCCTCGGCCGGCTGTCGCTGCGGTGGCAACCGATTAACGTGTTGTCGTCGCCAAGTGGTTTATTTTTACCGTTTAGCGCACCAGCAGCAACCAGCGAATATCCTATTTTTACTGTAATGTTTGACCTCTGAACTGCAACTGTACTGGCGCCGCTGCATCATGGGAGTTAGAGTTTAATTTAATTTTCTTTTCTTTTTTTCTTCTATTTTTCTTTTTTACGTCAATTGCTGTTCCGGGATGGAGAATGACGCCAAGGATAGCCAGTGGTGGCATTTTACGTACTAGTGTAGAATACATTTTCAATTGAAAATACTATGCATCATCTGGTTAATTAAACTGGCGTATTTTATTTTCCTTTAAATATTATCCGAATTTTAAGCTCTCATTCTGCCTACGATCTCTATCATGACTTGGGAACATGGAAATTATTTATCACGCTTAAAATGAACATTGATTTATTTATTTATTTGTAAATGTAATGCTCTGAAGCCAGTTCCACAAATTCAAATAAATTCAAAGTGGAATGAGAAGAAGCAGTAGCAGAGAGGCAGAGAGGTCAGGTTCAGGTTTAAGAAGGTGCATGAAGCAAGAAAGTGACTAACTTAATACATGTATTACAGCTCACCTCTGCAACAGTAAAACATTTTTCATCTTTCAGCATTTTTGGTGATGGAGTGGGGAAAAAATCACGTTCATTGGGTCTGACAGGAAGTTATCTGGTACCATTGCATTAAAAATAGACTACTGCTTTTAAAGCCACTGCAAGCTCTACAAGGGAAAATGGAAAGGACTTCCAGAGGTGCTGCTGCCTTCAGTGAAGCGAAACTCACTTTTAGATGGACTGCAGTGAAGTGGAAACCTGTCTTGTGGTCTTTTCCTTTCCTCTCACAGAGTTTTCAAATAACTGATATTGTGCATTCCAGAGGGAACATATGAGATCTGCATAAAGCTCAGGGGCCCCCCTTTATGGTGTGGGTAGGAGACATCATGAAAAATGTATTTGTGTTAGGTTAAATGCTTAATCAGCTTCCTGGAGTTTGATCATGAATTACTGACGCCTCCATCTCCACATTTGCTAAAAATTGAGAAGGTCAGATTCAAAATGACTGAAAATTTTGGGATGCTGCTTTTTGTGCCATGTTCAGGGCAGCTGCTCAGGTTGCATGTTCCGGTTTGCACCACTAGATGGAGACATACTACCACAGACTGCTGCACGTGAGCAAATTTTAAAAGAAACCCATCCTAACCCTGTAACTAAAAACTAGTGAAGGGAAATAGTGTGCGCGCCCGGACAGGATCCATTCACTTTGACCCTATCAGAGTCATACATTTAGCTAATTTCGACTAAGAGATCACATCCCTTGTAATGTTGGAAAAAAGACAGTTCTGAGAAGTTCAAGACACACAAGTGCCCTTTATTATATCAAGAACATTTTTTTACAGAAAGGAAATGAAAAAAGAAAAGTACATAATTTTTTACAGATAAGAAATACTGAAAATTTAACTACAGCCTAATATGAACTTTTTTGTTCTAATCATAACATTTTAAAGCAAAACCAGAGTGCATCTCAAAAGATTATACCATGGGCACAACTGAGAACTCGATCGATTCTTTTTTTTTTCATTTTATGAAAGGAAAACCTTTCTCATCATACACAAATGATTACCTCAGAGGACTTCTGTTACAGAACAGTAAATAAATATGAATTTATAAAACCTCAGTACTTTGTGAAAATGTAACTTAACAATATATTGTATCTGTTTGTATACAGCTCAAATTTATTTATGCCAAGGGGACAGCAAGATACAAAATATATATTCTGTTCGGTTTTACATTTTAGAGGCTGTTGACTGGTGCGAGACCTTTCCAACACATGCTGAAAAGAAAAGATTTTTTAAACAAAATCTTGTTGACATGGGAAACGCAGAGCATATTTACAGAAGGAAGAACACAGCCATAGGCTCAAACTAATCGGAGAGAAAGGGAAATTAAGTTTCCTGTTCCCTCTGGACAACAACAAACACTGTGGCCAACCGGCCAATTCTCCAACACCACAGGACTAAAAGATAATCAAGCCCGACTCACTGCCAACCTCCAAGATGGCCATACACTGTACAACTAAACACATGCCCCCCACCCCCCTCTCTGCCCAAAGAAGTGCTCGCAACTCTCCAGAATGTCACAGAGACTCAGTCGATTTTCAAAAAGGGGCTCCTCCCCTGGCATGTCAGACGCCTGTTCTGTTCACATTCACAGCATGTTTGTCCTCAACAAATCCAAATAACACTGAAACTCCAAATTAGGCTCTAACTTGATTCACGGTTTTCATTATAAACAAGATTATACAAAAAAAAAAATATGAGAACAAAAACGGAAAATAATGTAAAAAGGAAAAAAAGAAGAAGACGAAGACAACAAGGCCCCGAGGAAATAAATACCCAGTGTGTGTGCTGCGGCCTCACTGCAGAGAATAAGTACTGGAAGAGGGGAGCTTCTCTAAAGGACTTTGTCCGTCCTGCGTGTGACCTGACTATGCCGTTCCCCTCGAGCGTCAATAAGCAGGCGATGCGCATAAATAAGACATTAATAAATAAAAAAAAAGAATGGATGAAGCACAGATGTTGCTGTTAGTATAAAAGCTTATAAAAACTTCGGTCAAATCTTGTTTACAACCTTGCCCTTTTTTCATTTTTTCACAGAGTGCCTTTTTTTCCTTAAATTTATGAAACAAAAATATACAAGCGGCCGGTCTCGGCCGGAAAGGGTTGAGCGCCTCCCTATTTGAACTGTTCCGGTATGTGTCCCATCTGAGACTGCATGCTGGTCGGGGGGCTCGAGATGCCCTCTGACCAGTCGGACATGTTGGAATGCGGAGAGGAGCTGGACCACTGGTCGGGGGAGCCGGGGGACGGGGTCAGAAAGGGGTGGTCGGGCACTTGGACCTGGTGGCTGGGCGTGTTGTCCATGGGGCCGGAGTAGCTGTGCTGGGAGGGCGGGGTGAGGAACTGGGCGCTGGGCATGGACTGGCCGATGGAGCCGGGCAGGATCTGGGTCTCCTGGGGCAGGATGGTGTGGATGGGGAGGCTGGAGCCTCCGGAGCCCTGCTGCAGCTCCGGGGAGCTCAGCTCCCGGCTGATGAAGTTCTGGCCGCTGGGGGGGTTGGAGTTCTGGTGCTGCAGCTGGATGCTCTGCTGCTGCAGCTGCTGCAGGTTTTGCATCTGCTGCATCTGCTGCTGCTGCTGTTGCTGCATCAGGTGGTTCTGAGCCCCCATCCTACCGCCCGGGATCCCCTGGTAGCTCATCATCTGGGACAGGCCGGAGTTGGGGTGTCCGTTGTGGAGGCCGGCGCTCATCATCCCGTGCTGCCCGGCCTGGTGGGCGCCTCTCAGCGGGTTGAACTGGCCCTGCTGGCCCAGGCCGCCGTGCATCCTGGACAGCCAGTCGCACTGGCCGTTCATGGGCCCCTGACCCGGCCCGGAGCCGGACACGGGCAGGTGGGTGAGGCGGGGGGGCAGCGGGTCGAACTGCATCCGGGCCAGCTCCTGCTTGTTGGGCATCACCATGTGGTTGACGGCCAGGTGGGCGTCGGACATCCCCTGCAGGTGGTTGAGGGACACGGACGGCGACTGCTGGAAGGGCGAGGTCATCATCGGGGGCGAGGCCACGTCGGACACGTAGCCGTGCGGAGACTCCAGGGAGTCCACCGGGGACAGGACCGCCGAGCTGTCCAGGAGGCTTCCGGACTTGCCGTCGTGGGAGTTCTTCTTCTTCACCTTCATGTCTTTGCCGTCTTTGCAGCCGATTCCCTTGGAGCTGGGCTTGCGGGCCTTTTTGCCCTGGCCCTGACTCTGCGGCGGGGGCTGCTTCATGCCGCCCAGGAAGCCGTTGGGAGAGCACAGAGGGGGCGACAGCGTGGTGCTGAGGGACCCCCCGTGCATCGGGGGACTTCGTACCAGGTTGTACTCGTCCAGAAGCCGCACTATGTCGTGATGCATCCTCTCCTGGGCAATGTCTCTGGGCAGGCGGTCCATGTGGTCGGTTATCTCTCTGTTGGCAAAGTGCTCCAGCAGCACCTTGGCAGTCTCGTAGCTTCCTTCCCTCGCAGCCAGGAACAGAGGGGTTTCCTCCTAAAACGGAAAAAAAAAAAGAAAAGGGAAAAAAAGACATGTTAAATATTTTCACAGATGCTGGAGGAATGTTGTTTATGATTCCCCCCGCGCGGAAAAACAAAGACGGCTTCTGGACCTTGTTATTCTGCATGTCTTTGTTGGCGCCGTTCTTCAGGAGCACGATGGCGGCCTCCACGTTGTTCACCGCCGCCGCCCAGTGCAGGGCCGACTTTCCTGAGGGGAGGAGGGCAGAAAGCATGAAGCCCCCATAAGGTGCACTGTTCAAACCCCCGACGGCTGCCGAGCCGAGGGCGGCGTCTTTACCGAAATCGTCGATGGCGTTCACGTCGGCATGGCAGTTGATGAGCTCCTCCACCATGCCCTCCACCGCCAGCCGGGCCGCCAGGATCAGGGGCGTGGTGCCGTCATGCATGCGGGCGTCCAGGTCTGTGGCGCGGTTCCGTATGAGGATCTGAAGACACAGACAACACTTAACTCCATTTTTGTGGCACCTCAGTTCTAAATAATGACACTAAACTGTTCTGTTTGAGGACCAGGAGATTGTTAGTTCCAAAAGAGTTCCTAATTTTGGCTCAAAAAGGATCTGGAAACTCATTAACCGGTGCCTCCTAGTCATTTTATTTATTTATTTATTTATTTATTTATTTATTTATTTATTTATTTATTTATTTAAAATTTATTTATTTAATTTTTATTATTATTATTATTTTATTTAAAATGTGTTTATTTTTTATGTACTAAATTTATTTATTTATTAAATTTATTTATTTATTTTTTATTTTCTAAATGTATTTATTTATTACATTTATTTATTTTCTAAATGTATTTATTTATCTATTTATTTATTTATTTTAATTATTTATTTATTTTATTTTTTCCTTCTCCTGTTCAGCATTACGGCCGCAGAACTGAAGTCTGAGTACTGTGCCAGGCCGAACAGAATGGCTTTGCCGCCCGGTGGTCTTAAATGACCGTGGCGTGGATGGGAGGCCCACCTGGAACACGCCCTGGGCGTCGGCGGCCACGGCGGCGTGCAGCGGCGTGCGGCCCATGTTGTCCTGGATGTTGGCGTCGGCGCTGGCCTCCAGCAGGCGCTTGGCGGCGTCGGAGCGGGCGTAGCGGGCGGCCAGGTGGAGCGCCGTCTCCCCGGTGCGGTCGGTCTGGTTGTGCAGGTTGGCGCCCTGGTAGATGAAGTCGTTGATCACGTTGGCCGAAGCGTCCTCCTCTTCCTCGCTGTTGCCCGTCTCCAGCCCGCCTCCGCTGCAGGAGGCGATCATCAGGGGCGTGAATCCATCTGAGGAAGGGGGGGGGGGGGAGCAGGAACACATGAAAAGGGGGCGCATGTATGTGCGCGGTCAGCAAAAGCGCAGAGCGGGCGCGATCAAATTAGCCAAAGGCCGCTCTTCAAAGGATCCGGCAGATCAAAAGAGCGACAAACAAATCGAACGTGGACTGGACACCTTTTGCCTGAGTTGAATCATCACTGCTCTGTCTCTCGATAATGGATTCTGATCAAGGCCCCAGCTCCAGAGGAGCTTCAGAGGGAACGGGAAGCTGAGGGGATAGAGACCAGGGTGTGCTAAAGCTAGACTGCTGGAAATAAAAAACCCCAGCGTTAATATCTGACTGAGAGCGGCAGCTCAGCCCGTTGACTCGGATAGGCTTTCTCCTCTTCAAAAGGATAGCGAGCCCCAGATCTGGCAGATTTGGTCGATTCAAGTGCATCGATCCGCGGCGCGGAGGAAAAGTGCGTGCTTCAAGTAGTTAAATCTGTTACTTTGATTTTTCATAGCTTTTCTTTAGGGATTTGGGCACTTAGTACAAAACTGCGTTTTTTTGCATTTGATGCCCACGTTGGGTTTTTGTAACACAAAACAGAATAAAACACAGGCCCATTACTGGTCAAATGATTAATCTGATCAGGAATCAGCGGATTCCCCCAGGCGGCCGGCTTCCAACCAGGTGCTTTGAAGAAGATTTTTTTACCCTGAGGATATGGGGCTTTGACAACCCCTCCATGCACACTACACACACACACACCTACTAAAAGTACACGCATGCTGGAAATGGAGCACACACTCAACTAAAATGGTCGTTAAACCTTTTTTTCTCAGATCACGGTGCCTAGTTTAGATATATTCTATTCCTATATTTAAACTTTTGCTTAGGCAGACAGGCTATCCTTCCATTTGATATCTGTATTTCACAGCAAGACAAAAAAGACAGAAAGACTGCAGAAAGATGCAGTTTATCTTTTTCTGATATAATTTTCATTGCCTCCCATTTTTTCCATACACATTTATACATTATACATTCACATGTAATCAAAAGATGTAAATCATCCATACTTAATTAAGTTAAGGGGTAGGATAAAAAATGATAAGCCTCTAAATCTCTTAATTAATTTTTTTTTTGAGTCACCCACCTGGCCCCCGCACGTTGACATCCATGCAGTCATTCTCAATCTCGCCCTGAGGGGGTGTGGGAGCAATGGAGGGGATGCGGAGGTCGGCAGCATCCAGGTGCTGCTGGGTCCACTGGCGGTGGTCAGTCTGATCATCCACGTCCAGCACGGCTTGCTCATCAAACTAAAATATGGGCGGCATGGGCAGTTTAAATTAAACGTTGAAATAGAAAAATAAATAATCCCCACTTTGTTATTAAAGAATAAGTTAATTCCAATTCTTAAAAACAAAAATAAAGATAATTTTCAAAACCGCTTTAAGCAGTTTGAAATTTTGAGTTTATCTTAGAAAAGTGACACAAAATAACAGTTTTTAAAGCGTGTCATATTTCTGTCTCCTGACCTTAAAGCGCTTTGCGTCCATGGGCTCATCCTCCACCCATTCGCTCGGGGTGTCGTCCATGAGTGAAATGTCCGAGGTGTTTTTCAGTGGTCTGTAATGAAGCAGAAAACTCGGTAAAAAGCCTCCTTCTCCACTGCTTCCACCTCATCCCACCGCTCGCCATCAATGCTGCAGCGGTGCCCAAAAACCAAAGCATCGATTCAATTCGTACCCCACCCCTCTGACCCATCAAGTCAATTAATTCGCACCTAAATCTGCCGTGTCATTACCATTAATGATCCGGGCAAACCTCGCTTTTAGAAATTTGACTGAACAAAAAATTCCACCGTTTTCCAATACCAGAAACTTGTCCCGTTTGAACAAACAAACACTTCTGCCATAGACAACAAGCAGCAACAGCGAATTTACAAGAACTTACTTTAATCCCACCGAATCTTCGCCGACAGGCTCCCGTCTCTTCTTCTTGTTGGTCTCTGTGGTCTTGAAGCCCTCGGGGAGCCAGAGACGGCCGTGCTCGTGGCGCCGCCTCCGGGCAGCCACCATCCCCACTCCCAGGAAGGCCAGTATCCCCACGCCGCCCAGCACCAAGTAGACCGTGTAGAGCCCCTCTGAGGGCTTGCGCTCCCCGCCGCCTGGCAGGGAAAGGGACGACATGGTCAGGACAGGCTGGACCAGGGCGCCCGGGGTCCCGCCGACCGCTCGGGCAGAGCTCCTCTTCGGCTCGCGGATCCCGGTGAAAAACGACACACACCGCAGGCGCCGGCGCCCCCAAAAACTCCCCCGACAAGCCTCAGCGCTTGTGAAGCTAGCTTCCACTATCTATTCAGTAATAATCAGAATTGCTAACCACTTTTCATCAAAAAAAGAGAAAAAAAAAGGGATGGGGCGTGATAAAAAAAAGAGAGAGAAAGGGGAAAAAGAACACCACCACCTCCTCTCTCTTTTCAACTCAAGGTACCAAGAGACAACTTTACCATTTCTTCTTTAAGAGAAAAAAAGGAGGGGGATTAATGAACTTCAAATTACTGCACGCGCTTTAAGCTGTAAAGACGAAGGATTTATTAGGATTTTCAAGATAACAAAGACTCCCAACTTCTAGCACACTCCCGATCAATTTTTCCCCTTCTCTTTTTTTTTCCACTAACGATTTTGAAATGATAAACTCCCCCAACCTAAACCCTCAGAGATACATTAAGTCCTGGTATTACATTCAGCGAGGTGAAGGTTGCAGCAGCCCCTCACACTGAGGGATAAGGCGTGTGTGTGCGTGCGCGTGTGCCAGTGTGTTACCGGAATACGTATATGTGTACACGTCTGAGAAAAGGGGGGGGGGGGACCGAGACACTTATATTACGTGAACAGGGGGTTGGACAAGCTGATGTGGAGCAATTAACTATTTTGGAGCCTCAAGCCATTGGATTTACACACAGGGGGAGGGATTGATTGTTTAGGCCATGAGATCCACAACTGCATTTGTTCACTGCTGCATAACAAATACACAATCAAAGAGTTCTGGGGAGAGAATCTGACTGGAGGCTGCCGCAGATTTATTTATTTATTTATCTATTTGTCTTTCTTTTTTTCTTTTTTTTGTTGGAGGGTGAACGGAAATAACGCGTCTCACTCGGTCGGTACCTGCTGACACCTCAGCCCTTTCAAGAAAACTTGCACCTTTCCCTGTTTTAGACCCATTTAGTCCGGGAATAAACAAAGTTTTCCAAAACTGTATTTAACTTTGGCTAAGTGGCGGTCAACAAAGTTCATGTAAAGAGCAATGACCGCTTTGTTTTTGCTTAAGTTTACACATGGACACAATCCCATTCCCACAGGAGGCTAAACGACTATTTTGGTGGAACTTGGTCGAATGTAACTTGCACCATCCTTTTTCCTGAGCCCTCCTTGCTGTTGGGACACAGACATTTGGTACCAGAGAACTCTTGTTGCCTGTTCTGACTAAACCGATAATGAGAAAAGATCGTATCCTGACCCCAGTGGGATCCTGGAGAGCACACTCACTGTAAACGGCCTCAATGGGGAAGGGGACGTCCAGCTTGCCGCTGGACTTCATAGCCGCCAGGAAAGCCGCCGCATCGTCGCTGCTCTCTAAGCACTCGGTGGACTGCTGGAAGCACTGCCGGTTGTCCATCTCCAGGTGGACGATCGAGCTACAGGGGGGCAAACACAGTTGAGGGATTGTTCGGTTTTGACGAATTTCGCAGACGAGACGGTCGTAGAATTTTGAGGCAGATAAGGTGAAAGCAGATGGAATAAAATAAGATTTTATCTACACGTTTGTGCTTCCTCACCCTTTGACCTGTAGGTTATCCAGCTCCCTCCGGACTCGCCTCTCTCTGCCGCCTCCCACATCGTACAGGCTCCTCTTGACCACGTCCAGCACTTTTCCGGGGGCTTCCGACCAGGAGTCCGCCGAGCGCTTCACGTTGTACTTCTTCAGCTCGTGCTCTTTCCCGTAGTAGGGGTAGACCATCATCTGGCCCGCGGCGTCCTTGCTGAAGATGACGTTGGTCCGCAGAACGCGGCTCAGCTCGCGCAGGAACCCGTAGGAGTTGTTGAGCAGGTGCTCGGGCGTGATGTGGACGACCAGGACCAGCTGGCCCACGGCGATCTTCTCGGGCATGTTGTTCGCACAGTCCAGGCCGTCCCAGCCACACTCTGCATTGTTGCAGCCCTGGTCGCAGTGGTGGTCAGCGTAGTGGTCCTTGCAGTACTGGTCGTATAAAGGGCTGGAGGAAAAAGACAGAAATTGACTTAGAGAGAGTCTTAGACTTGACTTTATGTACCCCTTGGGATGACTCCTTCAGGGAAATTCAAGTTTCTTACCAAAAGTTAATACATATAATGTTAAATATATGTATGCATTTTGTATATGTATAATTTTTTACTAAGACGGGCCGGGAAAAGGTTAAAAGAACCTGAACCCGATTCTCATAAACCTTTCCATCTACTCTGGAACACTTTATTATGTAAAAAAAGAACAAAATAAGTCAAAAGTAATTTCAAATAACCCATTTCCTGTTTGCTCTCCAGCAGAAGGATAGAAAAAAATCTAGTTTGTACATGTATAATCTAAGATAAGAAAAGAACCTGAACCCGATCCTCAAAAACCTTTCCATCTACTCTGAAAAACTTTATTGTGAAAAAAAAAGAACTAATAAGTCAAAAGTCATTTCAAATATCCTGTTTGCTCTCCAGCAGAAGAAAAAATCGGAATATCTTTAGACGGAAAAGCTGCTCTCACTTGCACTGGCCCTCCAGGTTCTGGCAGTCGAAGCCGTCGTAGAGGCACCCGGCGCTGTCGCACTGCGGGTCGCACTTCCCGTCGTTGAAGTAGCGCCAGCACTGCAGCGGCGCCGAGCAGTTCTTCCACGGGTCGTCGAAGTTGAGCGAGCAATCGCCGTTGTCCCAGCCGCAGGCGTGGTTGTTGCAGGCCTGGTCGCAGCGCTGGTTGCGCCTGTGCTCCTCGCACTGCGGCACGTCGCAGGCCGCCTCCAGCTCGGTGGGCGGCGCCGGCGGCGGCGGCGGCACGTTCTCGCCCAGGCCCCCGGGGAAGCCGTGGTCCAGGAAGTGGCAGCGCAGGCCGTTGAAGCCGGCGGGGCACAGGCAGTGGTAGTGGGGCGGATCGGCGGCGTGGCGGCACGTGCCGCCGTTGTAGCACGGGCTGGAGCCGCACGGGCTGTCGCCGGAGAGCTGGCACTCGGAGCCCGTGAAGGAGGGCAGACACAGGCATCTGGGGCTCTTGTGGCCCGAGACGCAGGTCCCCCCGTTGCGACAGTGAAGGCTGCCGCAGGCCTGAGAGTCGTACTCACAAGTGGAGCCGGTGAAGCCCTTAAAGCAGAAAGGCCAACATTAGGGATTCGATTTAGGTATGAGTTCAAAACTGCAACAGTCTCATGTATTGAAATGAAAAGTCAAAAAATGGTTTTAAAAATGAAAGTTAGATTTTCCTCTGAGGTGAAAAAAATCTGAAAACATAAGAATATAAATAAAAATTTAATCTAACCCTTTAATGGGACGGGGACATATTTATTTGCGTTTCTGATTTAGTCATTTGGGGCCCTAACAACCAGAATCAATGCTTTTTTCACATTTATTTGGGATGAAACTTTATAGAAAAAGTGAAAAAAAAAAAAAAAAAAAGTGTCAACTCATGATTAAACTTAACGTACCCACACTTAATTTTAGAGCTAGTTTAGGTGAGTGCACTTCCTCCCGTATGTCTTAAAAATGTGCTGTATCAAATGAGCTGCGCATGACGTTAAAAGGCAAAACCTCTTAAACGTTTGTTTTGGGGATGACCGAAGCATACGAATTCCTAAAGGACTCTGCTTAAGGTGAACTTACAGGGGGGCACTTGCAGATGAAGCCGTGCGGCGTGTTGCTGGCCACGGCGCACGTCCCTCCGTTATGGCAGGGTTTCCCCTTACAGCCGTCGAACACCATGTCGCAGCGCTGACCTACGGAGGAACCCCACAAAAGACACATTTTTCGACCGAGCAAAAAGTCTCACAGCTTAAAAAAAATCGAAAAATGTGTGTTTGAGCCAAAAACTGATTTTTTCCCAAGTCAGAAATACCAAACGACACTCTCTTAAAAGTGTCTGAACTTCATTTAAAATACGGGGCGAGAAAACTTGCAGTTGAGGGAAAGAAACAGAAGTAAAAGACACAATTTCTATCTATCTCTCTGAGGCATGTACCTGTGTATCCGGTGCGGCACTCGCAGTGGTAGTTGTTGGTCAGCTGGATGCAGCTGAGCGTGCCCCGGGGGTCGCAGGGGTTGGACAGGCATTCGTTGATGTCGCCCTCGCAGCGCTCCCCCACGTACCCCGCCGGGCAGATGCAGTGGTAGCCGCCCACTCCGTCCACGCACTTGCCTTTGTTGAAGCACTTGGGCTCTTTGGTGACGGGGTCGGTGAACGGGTTGCAGTCGTCCATGTTGATCTCGCAGTGCACACCTAAAGGGGCGGAAAGGGACTCACGTAAATGCTCACTGGAACCCGTTTTGGGTCATAATAACAGAGTTACACAAAGTTTGAGTGACTTGTTAGGGAAAGATCTGAGATACATATATATATATATATATATATGTATACAGTGGGGGAAATAAGTATTTGACCCCTTGCTGATTTTGCAGGTTTTCCCACTTACAAAGAATGCAACGATCTATAACTTTAATCATATGTACATTCTAACAGTGAAAGACAGAATCCCAAAGAAAATTCCAGAAAATCACCTCATATGAATTTATAAAAATTGATAACTATCTGATGAGGAAAAATAAGCATTCTTTGTAAGTGGGCAAACCTGCAAAATCAGCAAAGGGGTCAAATACTTATTTCCCCCACTGTATATAAATATGTTTTTTTTCTCTCTTCTCGTCCACGTTGGCCGCATTGAGATACACCCATCTCGGCTGCCACCTTAGGCTGACCTACAGCACACACTCCCCTTCATGTCTGAGAGAGAAATCGATGGCTTATTTGACAAGTAGAGGAAGAGTTGGAGGCAAGCCGGGAGGAGGAGTTTTCATGCCCTGTGTGCCGCTAAGCCCTAATTAATGAAGCGTGGAGACAGGCGGGAGGGGATGGAGAGGCAGAGAGGGGGGGGGGGGGTGGGGGAGGACTGTGCGTGGGGTCTGCTGACCTTGGGTTCCCCGGGGACAGGAGCATTTGTAGGTATTGATCAGGTCAATGCAGGTGCCCCCGTTCTGGCACGGCTGAGAGAAGCATTCATTGATCTCCACAGAGCAGTTGGTCCCCAAGAAGCCTGGCATGCACTGAGGGAGAGAGAGGGAGGACGGGAGAGGGGGAAGAAGAAGACAGCGGGGAGGAGAGAAGGGAAAGTTTAATCAATCTCCGACATGAAACAGAGATAGTTTTTTTGTTTACCTGGCTGTTTTTTCCGGCCTCCATCCTGCCAAGGCCAGCGGATCCGACACTCCAGGGGAGATTAACATAACCGAGCTGTTTGTTTTTCTATTTATAAACAGGCCTCTGTATGGAGGAGAGCCTCCCGCATTTACGAGGACGAGCCAACTGCATTAAAACCAGTGACTTTGAATGCAGACGACGTTTGGGGAACATTCGGAATTAATGGAGACACACCTTTGAGGTGGGCAGCCCAAATGAAATGTGGATGAAGACAATTTTCATCTGCCAATCAATATGAACAGCCCCTCACAGCATCATGCAGGATCCTTACTGCTGTGGCAAATCTAGTTTTAAAGTGGACAATCGTGTGGGCCGATTAGGCCGTAAGTTCCAAAAACTTCATAGGCTTTCATAAAAGCTGAGGCGACTAAATGTAAGCGAGAAAAAGAGAAACCGAGCGGTGTTTGGAGCTGTTACCTTGCAGGTGTATCCGCCCAGAAAGTCTGTGCAGGTGGCTCCGTTCTGGCAGGGGTTGGGCGTGCACTCGTCCACCTGTTCCTCGCAGTAGCTCCCCGTGTATCCGGCCTGACAGTGGCAGTAGTGGACGTTTCCGGCGTCCAGACACCGGCCGGAGTTTTGGCACAGCTGGGACACGTCCACTCCTGAGCAGAGAGAGAGAGAGAAGCCGTCCACAAAGAGAGACGGGGAGAGAGAGCGTGAGTCTAGCCTGATGGCGCTCGGGAATTCGTTCCCCGCAAACTCTGTCTGACCTCGCTGTTTGGCCGCCACCTCGCAGGACACGCTGGGGACGTCACAGTACAGGCCGGACCAGCCGGTCTGGCACTCGCAGCTGTAGGCTGTGCCCGTCTGCCAGCAGGAACCTCCATTCTTACAGGGCGAGGAGTCGCACCAGCGGACCAGGTTCTGCAACACAGGCGAGGCCGGTTTTTTCCACCGTTTTAAGGCTTTCTCATCCCACTTTAGAGCTTCATTCGATGGTCTCTGCTGATGTTAACCGAGACTAGTCTGAGCCACTCTCCTCCCTCCTCACCTGGCAGTTGATTCCCGTGTAACCGTGCGGACAGGTGCACTTGTAGGTGCCGTAGCTGTCCTGGCAGGTGCCGCCGTTCAGGCAGGGCCTGGAGTCGCACTCGTTGATGTCGTGCTGGCAGTAGCTCCCGGTGAAGCCGGGGGGGCACACGCAGGTGAAGGGGGTTGAGGCGGCCCCCGCGGGGGCGCCCTTGGAGGAGGGGGTGGTGGGGGGGGGGGGGGACAGGGCGGAAGAAGGACCCAAAAAAGCAGGTTTGAATGCGTTTTTTCTCTGCTTTTTAGGAAAAAGCGGCGTAAATCAATACAACATTATCTGAGCTGCGGGGGCATTAGCATCTGATGTTTCCACTGAGAGCTCCCAAAGAACAAGCCCCTCTTTTTACAGCTCTGCCCTATACTTCCAGCTCCCACTTCTCCCACATGGCAACCCCACAGACTGAAGAGAGGGGGATTCATATTGCTCGCTTAGCAGACGACTCAGACCCCTCAGAGCCTTTCTGCCGCGTATCAGCGCGCCACCAGAGGGGGCAGCAGCGGACTGGTCACCCTGGATGCTCCTTACGAACCTCTCGGTGCAGTCGGGGGTGTTGTTCTCGCAGTGGATCCCGCTGAAGCCCGGCGGGCAGGTGCAGGTGTAGCTGTTGACGCAGTCGGTGCAGTTGGCTCCGTTCCGGCACGGGTTGCTCTCGCACTCGTTGATGTCCTCCTCGCACTTGGTCCCCCGGAAGCCGGGCAGGCAGGTGCACAGGAAGCTGTCCACCTCATCCCGACAGACGCCGCCATTGCTGCAGGGGTCTGAGGGGATGGGGGGGTAGATCGGCTCCGGTTAACTCCACGCACCTTTACGAATCGCCGCGAAGGCGAAAAGAGGTGAGATCAGATGGGGAGAAACACTCACTGGGCTTGCAGTCGTCGATGTTGGTTTCGCAGTTTCGGCCGGTGAAGCCCGGTTTGCAGCCACAGTGGTAGCTGCCCAAAGTGTTCTGGCACGTTGCTCCGTTGAGACAGGGATTCTTCACGCACTCTTTGATGTCCACCTCACATGTTTGGCCTTGAGGAGATCAAAAGAGGAACCAAGAATAAATAGAATCTCTTTTTTTCAAGAGGAAGAACAATATGGACAACAGGATATGACATCTATTTATTCGGCACAACTTCTAATACCTGATACATCTTCTTTTGTTCCTAAGTTGACCACTTTGCTCATATCGTTTAAGGAAAATGTGCATTATGCTGAGATGTGAAAAGCTTTTTAAAAGATGTTGTCTTGGAGCTCAGCGTGAAATCTCCCTTTTGGAGCAAAAATAAACAATAAAGAAAGAAAGAAATCTCCCATTAATCATTTACTGAATGTTAAAGGGGAAAGTGACAGGCAGTATATCATACCCAAAGTAAATCTGAAAAGAAAGACTTAAGAAGGCCTGAAAAAAGGCTAAACTATTTAAAAGATGAAAAACAATGGATTATTGAAAGTGAAAAGTAGAGGCGGTTCAGGACTTCAGCACAAGACAGAATAAAGCTATACTTGTTATAATTCTTAAAAAATGTGGATTGCTCCCAAAAGACATTCCGATAAAAAAAAAAAACTTTTTTCTGTGAGCACAATTTATGAAAATATGATACAAAAGTAAATAAACAGCTGTGGTCTTAGTGTTTTTATATATCAGATACAAACATACAGATGTGAAATTTCTATTTTTCATCCGAATGTAAAATACATAAACTCAAGTCCTGCTTTTCTTTGTTAGGGATGTACTGGAACACATGGCTACGTAAAAGATTACCTTGCCATCCTTCAGGACAAGCACAAGAGAAGCTCAGGTAGTCCTCTGACTCCTGACAAACTCCTCCGTGCTTGCAGGGCTTAGAGCTACAGGGGGCCATCAGGGTTTCGCAGTTCTCTCCTGTAACAAACGCAAAAAAAACGTGCCCTTCAGTAAATTCCAAGATTTTTTTTTTGTTTTGTTTTTCAATCATCTGCTTAACTTTGTGATATCACGCAGGAGTCATGAACCTGGAGATAACCCAACCCAGAGGGACACCGAATCATCTTTCAATCAGTGCTATCAGAAGATTGGAGCCGGGTTGTGTGAGGCCTGAGGCCTACGGAGACGTGCCTCCATCTGTTTCCACAACGCACGGCTCGATGCCGGAAGCCGGCTCCAGTTTCCGGCCATTGTCAAGCCATTCGCTGTTCTGTGAGACAGGAAGCAGGCCAACCGGAAATGTGTCAAGCGCCCCGTTCCCACCCCAGTGCAAAGCAAGGGGCCATTTTTTCTTCTTTTTTTTAAAGTCCCGTGGATTCTTCCAAAAAAAACACAAGACCAATACAAGAAAGCATGCCCCCTCGCCTTCCCATCAGTATCTGTTTGGTCAAATAATACGCCAGATGACACGAAAACATGTCACAGCCCTCGGTCATGTGGGGGAAGTCGGGGGTTCGGTGTCTCCGAGGCCTGAGGAAGTCTTGCGATTGAACTTTACTCGACAGTTATTTCATCGGCAGCACATTTTTTCCAATCCCCGCCCAATAACTTGAAGTGCAGAGCCCTATGGAAACCGGCCATGGAAACGCCAGAACACCGAGGCCAACGGGATGAAACGTCTGTGGATAATATTTTTCATACCCGTGTACGGCAGGACGCAGTTGCACATGTAGCCCGCCACATCGTCGATGCACGTCCCCTGGTTCAGGCAGGGGTTGGACGCACATTCGTTGATGTTGGTTTGGCAGTTCGGCCCTGCGGGTAATAAGAATAATAACAATAATAATACTTTTTATTTTTAAAAAGCACCTTTCATGCCACTCAAGGACGATTTTCAAAGATGACCGTCATTAAAACAACATTGAAACGTAAGAAAACATACAAAGTCATGAATTCATCATATATAAAAACATCATAAATTAATTAAATAAAAATGGAATGAATAAAACTGTTAAGGAAATGTTAAGACTTAGGGATAACTCGTCTTCGTATCACCACTTCACACATAGTTTTCCTAGATTTTGTAGGGTTGGGAGTCATATGACTGTGACTACATCTTATTATCTGCCGCTTTCTGTCTATGACTCTCATTTTATAACTCATATTTCTTGAGCTAATTATTGATTTTAAAATAGTGGCCGAAGTTAAAAAGTACTTTGTGAATATTCGATAACCTGTTCTTTAATTCTTTTTTTCTAAAACTCTTATTTTTCTATTGTTAAAAGTACTTGCCCCGTGTCACATCCTTTGAATGAAACAGATTTACTTAGGTGGGTAAGAAACTTTAAACAGGACGGTTTTGAGTTTTGTTTTGAAAAGAGGGAGAGAGTCGGTATTTCCGATGTATTCCCATCACACACACACACACACACACACACGCACTGACCGGTGAAGCCCACGCGGCAGGTGCACACGTATCCGCTGGTCATGTCCTTGCAGGTGCCGCCGTTCATGCAGGGGTTGGACTCGCACTCGTTGGTGTTGATGTCGCAGTTTTTACCGCTCCAGCCGGAGTCGCACAGGCAGTTATAGCTGCCGGGAAACGGGGGAGAAAGAAACCGGTCGGGGTCAGAATCGGCCGCCCCCCACCAGGCCCGAAAAAAACCCCGCTCGGGGGGGGCGTCCTCACCCGTTGATCTTGTCCTCGCAGTGGCCGTGGACGCAGGGGTTGCTGAGGCACTCGTTGACCTGGGAGAAGCAGGTGTTGTCCTGGTAACCGCGGGGGCACACGCAGGTGAAGCCGTTGATGCCGTCCACGCAGGTGCCGCCGTTGTGGCAGGGGTTGACCGCACACTCGTTGATGTTGATGTTACACATGGTTCCTACCGAGAACAGAACAGAAAAGGGACCATTTCACACTCCAAAGACATGGTTTCAACACTGAATTTGTTTAATGTGCCCTGCGATGGACTGGTGGACCGTCCAGGGTGACCCCGCCTCTCGCCCATTGACCACTGGGATAGGCTCCAGTCCCCCCCCCTGACCCCATTAGGGAATAAGCAGGTATGAAAATAGATGGAATTTATTTCATGTGGGGTCTTATTCGCTACCTCTACACGACTATTGGGGTTGGCTTTCTGAATTGAGGGGTAGGTGGCAGTAGTCCTCCCATCAGATCCAGCGGAAAAAAGTGTTTAATTTCAAAATGCACTCAAAGCTGAGCCTCCTTGCTACAATATATGGATTCAGAAGGTCTGGGATATATACCAAATGGAATACATAACATACTCCCTGAGACTACAAACACAAACGTTGGAGACCTGTCGTTCCACTAATTATGCAATAAGGTTTTTTTGTTTTGTTTTGTTTTTTCTCACACTCTTGACATCACCCTGTGTTTGTGTTTTGTTTTTTTATGTTTAAAAATGTAAAAATACACATGTACATTCGTACCACATTGTATTATATCTGAAAAAATAATACATTTTGTTAAAAAAAAAAAAGCACAACAGCAATCCACACGGCCTCCGCCAGAGAGGAATCAGTTTTCAGAAGCGTCAGGGATTGGAGGCCGGCCCTTTTGTGGGCCGACGCCGTCGGGGCCGGCAGCCCGTTCGGCTTTAAAGCCGGGACCGGCTTTTAAAGGCTCAACTTTCAGGAATCTTTCAGGGGAATCTCTTTCTCCGGCTCAAACCCCTCTGTGGGATTCGGTGTGGCGGTGGGGGGGTGTGGGCCTGCCTGTGTGTGTCCTCCCTTTGTGCGGCAGGGCAGCTCGTGTGTCCTTACAGCGGCGGGCCGGGGACAGGGTGGAGCTGGAAAGCGACTCAGCCCGAGCCTCAGAGGAGCAC